GGTATTTTTTCTTACCGACCATGTCCTGTAATATGCCCCAGATTGAATAATCTAATGGATTGGCATCAGGAGAATATGGCGGCCATTGATCCCTCGAAATGAAGTTCGGTACGTTGTTTCTGAGCCATTCTTGGGTTTCGCTCGCTTTGTGCGACGGTGCAGAGTCTTGTTGGAATGTGTACGGTATTTCTTTGAAATGTTTTTGTGCCCATGGCTTCAACACTCGTTCCAAAACAGTTTGACGGTACAACGGAGCATTTACCTTGATGCCATTTGGCAAAAAACCAACGGAGAGCGGCCATTGGCCGTTACGGCGGCCCAAACCATTATCTGAGGTGGCGCTTGCTGTCTGGTGGCCGAACGAAGGCTAAAATTGTCGGACGATCTCTTTGCTAGATAAACCCGATCATTTTGTTTGTTAATGAATTGCTCATTTCTCATCCGAAAAGACAATGTTTGGCAAGCCGCCACTTGCGTGCAACAGCTTCAATGCCTTCGCTTTTTCAACTCGTACTTTCATTTGCTCCGGTGTATGATCGTGACATTTTTGTATCTTCAAGGGCTTGAGTTTGAGCACATTTCTCAATATGCGTTGCACGCTTCGCCTTGATATTTTCAGCTCTTTGGCCATTTTTCGTCCGCTTCGTCTCGGATTCCGTTCGACTCGGGCCTTTACTCGCCGAACCATTTCTGGTGAGGTTGCTGTTTTTTTCCATCCACCACCATGACGTTTTTTGGTGCTGCCGGTTTCATTGTAACGTTTTATTGTGCGGTGAATAAATGTTATGTTCACATTCAAATGTTCTAGCTGTCTAAAAATCTCTATTTGCGACTTCCCTTCCAAATAGAGCGCAATCACACCGTTGCTTTTGACGTCCATGGCGATACTGTCGCACTGTGTGCTTTTTTTTGCAAATGCGTAAATTATGTTGTAAACAACTCTTTGAGGTACCGTTATGCCAAAGGATGACACGCAATGCATTATAGTTTGGAAAAAAACAAATCTTCAAAATTATTTACACTTCGAGTGCGCCACCCTGTATTTTGACGAGATCTATCGATTGGAGCTTCTCCCGATGTCAACTGACCCATTTCCTGATCCCCCAATCCCCCACAGGGTTATTTTCGATGATGCTTCCCTTACATATATATATTACTCCAAAAAATGGTCTGGGGAGGGTCGGAGGGAAATTTGGGTGGGTCCAATCGATGGATCTCGTCAAAGTACTCTGGGGGGCATTGTCAGGGGGGGCATTTGGGGGGGGGGGGGGGGTAAACCCACTCCCAAGCCCGAAAATCACATTTTAAATCGCTCAAGGCAGACCCGCTCTCCGAGGATTTCATACAAACTTCCCATGTGGACGTTCGGAAACAGGCAAAAATCGAAAAAAAAGTAAATTTTTTTTTCGATTCTCATACAGTATTTCATGTGCCCAATCCAATGGTGTTATCGGCACATCGAAATTCGCGCTCCTTATCACTTAATTGTCACTCCGAAGCCAAATCACAACCAAAACCACCACTACAATGAATCATCATTCCAATGGACTTGAAAGTGTATCGAACATTTTTGCTTCAATTAAAGTGAAATACGATTTCTATAGTCCACAGATATTTTACTATTCACTTTCAAGCGAACAGAATTTATGTTGCACTTTTAAAAATCAAGAATATTGTGTTAAGGTTATCCATAAGTGGTTCAACTTTAGTCATTTTTATTTCCGACTACTCATATATAATATGTATACTATTTCCGAACGAAAGTGGACCTTTCCAAGCTGTTTAAAATTTTAAATTGGCTAACATATGATTTTCGTGATGCAGTGTTGACAAAATGTTTTGTTAAAATATGTTGACAACTGTATGTATCCCCCTAGCATAAGTGAATATCGTTTAAATTCGCAGAATATCGTTCCAGATGCGATTACCACCAAATTTGTTGTCAGTTGAGTACAAATGGGGATAGCTTTAGTAAAAACATTTTTGTTCCTCGTATTTGTATTTATCTCCTCAGTTGCACGCGGTTTGTGAAATGAATATGTGTCTTCGCATTGAATTGTTGAATATTTTAACATGTGAATTTAATAAATTCGAAAGCACTGACATGATACCATCAACTCATAATCCATTCTTATTTCCAACGTTCTCGTTGCGCCAATATGGGTCTTACATCATATCACACATGTTCAATTTTCCCTCTGTGCCTACGATTTTTCCTGTACAAAGTTTTTCAACTGAAAAAGTGATTTCCATTTCTGCCGAAAAAAATCTACTTGTGTTCGCATTATTGTTATTGTTTTTCATTTGGGAGACTTTAGATTTTATCATGCACGTTAAACTTATTTAACATTTATGTCGCAAATGCCGCTTCAAAAACAGCGAAAATCACACTTTATTTGTATTATTCTATGTTATCATTCGTTGACGAATGACATCTCATGAATGAAACACACGCTTTCTCGTTTAAAAATATCATTAGATTTAAAGCATTTTCCCATTGTTGAAGCTATTATTACTGGAACTCTCTTGACAGTTGTATAAACTTCTATCGGGTTTAATTCCAACCAGAAACGTTGAAGAATATGATTTTCAAACCCTCAAAAGGAGAGCATTCCGTCCATTCTATGTGCTTCTTTCCCAAATTGGAACTAAATCAACGTTGTTTGATGCGAATGAAAACATTTTTTCCAAATTTATAACAAAATTGAATCGTCAACACTTTATATACAGAAAAGATGTCATGTCTTTTAAAAGAAAAATTCTTAAAATATATTTCAGGTTAAATTTTAAAAGGTTTAGATGTGTAACACATGATGTGTTAAAGCAATTCAATAATTCACAAATACAAATACTGTCAAACATAGAGTTACCGAATATTTTAAAAGAAGCAGAATTTGGAGAGAGTGAAATGAAATATTTAAAATATCAAATTGTAAATATTGTAAATATAAAATAATATTTATACTAAATAAACCACCTCTGGCGAAGAAACGCTGTACGGTGCAGAATAATAATAATAATAATAATAAATTGAAATTTTTTACGGAGGCCTTTTCTATTGATCGCAGTTCGCCAATTTGTCATTTCTACGTTTTTGATTATTGAAAAATATTCCAAATAGGCTAATTTTGAGGCATTCTAATGGATTATTAGAGTCATTATCCGTATTGCAAATTTTGGATAGTCATTACTACTTCCACTTTTGTATTCTCGCATGAACTATTCTTCCGTGAAGAATTTGCTTTCGTAACAAAGCCGATCAAGCATATAGTGAAAAAATATAATTCCTAAGATTCAATTTCCAAAATAATCTGTACCTTCAAGTTTTCCGTTCGAAAGAATATTGGGTATTCAAAAAAGTTTTTTCGTTCATTTTTGACCGTTGTTGCCTTATTAACCATGGAATTTGACAACTAAAAGATACTGTAGCTGTAAATAAGTTATCTTGGTTTTATTAATGTTTTCGTTCTTCTAATATATATTGTTCTGATTTCATATGGGTACTACCAGCGTAATCGTCATTTGATATTATCATTGATTTAAATCAAACACATCTTATGATACGAAAAGCTTCTGTGTATTGATTATAGAGTTCTCTAAAATTCAAAAATCATGATTCTCTGCATGGTTTCATTAAAAATTCCTTAACAATCAAACCAACACGGTAAGAGAAAAAAGCGTCCCTTTTGGGGGAGAAATTCGGTACACACATATTTTTCCTCTTTGAATCCTTATTAACGCTCCATTCATTATATATGATATGTGATATCTTATTCGTTGCTAACAGGAATCGTATATGGCGTATATGCACAACAATCTTATAATGAACTAGGGGCATAAATAATATTTCTCTTATTGTGAGCGATTAAGCACGCATGATTGATTAGAACTAAAACATTCAAATTATATTTTTCCATATCGATTAACCTTGAGGTATACCCCCGCATATTCTGTTACCGACATATATACACACCGAACAAATGAGGCAATTTTATGGGGGTTTAGGTATTAAACATTGTCTGAAGTCAGAAAAAGTCAATATTAAAATGTTACCACGGACAGATTTCTCGTAAATACATACACGTTTTTTGTGATTATGCATTGCATAATATGCAATATATTAAAATTGGCCTGCGTCCTTCAATTTGGCGAATAAAAAGTGTGGATAACTGAAAACCTACATATATCGGTCAAAATTTTCAAATGTTGTTGATAATTTCAATTCACAAAATGGACCGAACAAAATTCGTATTCTCATAAGATGGTTCGACAGGGTTTGTTATGCGCTAAATCCATCACGCTGAATAAATTCATGCGATAGATTTATGCGATAAATGTGATGCGCTCGCTTTGCGGCGAACGAGGTCTGTTGCTCTTCACTACCGCTTAGCGATGCGTTCACTGCAAAGCATGAACGTTCATGCGTGAACGACTGAAGAGCAACAGACTTCGTTCACCGCAAAGCGAGCGCATCACATTTATCGCATAAAGCTATCGCATGAATTTATTCAGCGTGATGGATTTAGCGCATAACAAAGCCTGGTTCGGTAGGTAAGTTGCTGATTAAATGAAAAAAAAAGAAAGAAAATTAGTACCTATAACTAACAATAGAAGAAAAATCAAAATTTATACATTGCGAAGTATCCACTGTGAAGCTTAACAGCTTTGCTCTTTATTGCTGTTGAAAAGACACAGGGCACTCACAGTGTGTGTGTCACACTTGCTTAACTTTCAAATACTTATTGTGGCCTTATACAAGCCTATATTATCGCATTGTGCTGTATTAAATTATTGTTATTGCAGGAACAAATGTGTTCATTTTCATGCTCCAAACGAGATATTCTAACACAGACAATGCGAAAATATGTCGTGGTAAATTGTCTTTTTGTTTTCCACCGCATAAGACTCTACTGCAAGTTTTTTCATTGAATTTATTAGTTATTTTTCCCTTTTTTTCCAGCCGCGAGCACAAGTCGACCCTCTGCTAGCTCCACGTTTAATTTTATTTTGATAAAATTGAAAATAATGAGATAATAAAGTGATTTTATAATGAAGTTCATGACTTTAGATTGGCGATCGTGCCATGCAGCTCTATAAGGGTGTATATACAAATTACGAAAGATAACATCACAAAGTCACCATCAAAATAATCATTTACAACTGAAGTCGTGATACATAAATACTCTAGAATACCAAAGACATGATGAACAAAGAAGCAATCCACAAAAAAAAGAAAAATGCTAAATCACAATTGTTAAATTTTATCTGTTGCCATAAATTTCTATTTTCCCAAGTTCTGTCCAGTTTCATGATTTGTTTAGCAATAGCGGAATTGTTTTCATGACATTGTCGGTCGGCTATATACCGCCTCTCGTCTTTAGTAGAATTTCTAGAGGAAGAGAAACCATTGACCATTAAAAAAACGGTATAAAGAAATGTCTGTCACTGTATTCATTTTTCGCGAGCGAGCGCGAAATTACTTTCTTTATCCAGACAGGCAAAGGGAAATGAAAAAAAAATCGCTTTACCTCACCTCAACTTCATCGCAGTAAAAGAAAGTCTAAATATTTCAATACATGTTGTGTCTTTGTTTTAGTCTCCTTTTTATAAATGGTACCTTGTTTTAGCGTAATAGCGTCGCTACTACACAAAATATGCTTGGATAATTGAAACCGAGGAAAAACAGCATAGAACATCTGAAAAAAAAAGTGTTCCAACTACAGACATTCGTTTTCATTGCGCGTGATTACTTTCCACTTGCTATTGCAAGAAGATCGTTCTATTTTCTTCAAAATATGTTTTATTGTTGTTGTCGTCGTCATGTTTCGTTGTAATTACCAGTGCACTATACTGTCACAAGCCATTTGTGCTGAGTAAAATCATGGGGATAAGCAAGGACCTCGCACAACTCCATGTCAATTTCAATCTTCAAAAATAACGAAAAAATGGACAGCAACCATAGGAGTGGAACAAGGTCCATGCATATATTGATGAAATGGACAAAAAATAGCAGAACAAACATTTCTTAAGCGAATTGTTTTTGTTTCGGCTGGTGCATAAATATCATTATAAATGCATTTGGAAGTTTAAAAAAATCCCTTAAATCGAGAAATGTGAAATGAATGAAACAAAAAGTGTATTCGCAAGCCATGGAAAAATCGCGCGGAAATAAGCAAAGTTCAACAGCAAAAAATGGATAGAAACCAACCAGACCAGAATGATTAAAAAATCATTTTTCAAATGTCGTGATTTGGCTATATATAGACTTACTTTTTTCATTCAATATGAAACAATTGCCGATTTAATGAAACATGTGTTTATTTCAAACTGTGTCCACAAATTGTGGCAAATTATTGACATCTTTCCGCATCTTTCTTTTTGCAACATTTGGAAATGTAATATACTCTCAGCATAATATTTGGTTTTTGGCATAAAGTAGAAATTATTTGTGCAATTGTTTTTTTTTCATTGCCATTGATTCATTCAGCCATGAATGATATTTTTCCAAAGTGTGAATCGTCAATTTTCGTCAATTTTGTGAGCTGAAATGAATAAATGAAAAAACAACTGTAGTTCCGTGTAATTTACGGTAATTTACAAATATTCCGAAATATTTTGTATGATATATGTTTATTCCGGTTTATTCTGAGCGATTCTGAGAATCAATTTCGATCAATTTTCGTTTCGCAGTTACCGCTCGTACGCCAACTTTGACCGTTGAAGGATTTTCAGAAATTCTACACACAAATGCAAATTTGGCACCAAAATAGTGAGCGAGTTCTTTCCCCATTTTTTAAGGAATTCAAGCAGTTTGAAATGATAAAAAAGAACCTAGCAGTGTGGAAGTTCCGGGAAGTTCTGAGGTTCTGAATTTCTATTTTTCCGCTTTTCAGATTTCGAATCTTTTTGAAATTACCGCATTCAATCATTAAACCGCGTTGAACCGCGTTGAACCGCGTTGAACGATTGCGTTTACTCACGACCGCTCACGACCGAATTCGACTTTTCAACACGTGTCAACAGTTGTCAACACCGATTGTTTCATTGCGGCACGTTGCGGCAACAATACTCGACAATACTAGGAATAAATCGAAAAAAGTTCGCAAACAGAAAAACGACGAAAAGCCCAAATCTAATACAAAGACTGCAAAGGTAGCGAAGTCACCGAAAAAGAACGTTTCATTGTCGCTCAGTTCCGATTCAATTGATTTCGATTGGTTCCTGTCGCTCAGTTTTACTCTTTCTTTTCGAAAATCGTAACATGAGTTCTGACGAATCCGAAGATTTCTTGGGGTTTCATCCGAATAATGAACTCGATGATTCGATCGGCAATACATCATTTGAAAAAGTATTTGTGGAAAATGATGACCCTTGCACAGACGAGTCGATGAACATAGGAAGTCCACCACAGACCGAAGAATCGTTTGGACATAGGTGAGTGTAGCGGGACCTTCGGGGACTTTTTTTTCAAGCAAAAAAACTTGTGTTCCAAAAGTCCTAAATGCACCCAAATGATGACAAATTGGATTTAGTACTACAATGATACACTTTTTTCTGAAGATATCCAAACATATTTAAGGTGGTTAAAAATAATCAGCAAAATATGTTTGCTCTTTTGCTGTCTACCAATATGTCGAAATTTAACTCGTTTTCTACCAAGTGTTCGAAAAATTAAACCATTTATATGGGAAATAAATTCTTCGGTAAAAAATGGTTTAAATTACGTCATTCTGAAAGAAAATTTTTCGAAAAAATGCTTAAGAAAAGGTCAAAACATGATCAAACTAATGAAGTCTTACGGAACATTTTATTTATTTATTTATTTATTAACACGGTTCGAAAAAGCCTAACCTAAATATCCAAAATGAAAGGCCAGTTATAAATATTTTTTCCAATTTTTCCGGATTTTTCAGTCTCAATGAAAAGACGTCAAAGAAGATCAAGAAGAAGAAGGAGAGCAAAGTCGATGAGGAAATTAAACGCTTACGCGAATCGACTAAGTTGGTGATCCCTCGAAAGGCGTTTGAAAGGTAAGATTTTTTTCATTCTTTGCGGTTTTTCGTAGTTGTAAAGGCCGAAAACGATTGAAAATCCAACGAAATTCAATGAATTTCATATATTGAATGTTTATATTGAATGTTTTTCTAAATAAAATAGGGTGGGTCAACTTTCAAAGAAAAAATTTTGTTGCCAAAAATCAGACCTCTTAGAAAATTGACCGAAATGTTTTGTTTTTGCAACCAAAACTAATGAATTTCCTGATCAAATTGTAGCTTTTTCGGCTCTCTTTCCAATGGAATATCAAGTGTGCATTTATCTTCATTCCATAAAAAACTATGACTAAAATGATTAGTGCGGGTCAACCTACACATAATTCCCCGTAATTCCCCTATAAAATATAATCTTTTTTCACTACTCTACATTTTTTTACAGATATGCTCGGGAATTATTACGTGATTGTCGCAACGATTTTCGATTCCAACCCCTAGCAGTCGACGCTTTGCAGGAGGCCGCGGAAAACGTTTCAGTGCAACTGTTCGAAGACAGTCTGTTATGCGCAAATCATCGCCAAAGAAAAACGTTGTGCATCAAAGACATGCACTTGGTATCAAGTTTGAGCGGCTCGAAAAAATAAACTCATTACACTAAGAAACGAATTTCAATCCTCTGAAAGAGGATTCGAGAAAGACACGAAAACCAATGCCACCACCACCAAGCTATCAAGCTTGCATTATGCCGACATCATTTAGCCATCAAACCAACTCATTACCACGGATGCATGAAGAGGAGAAACATTTCACACTCGTTGTTTATAATTATGAAGATGAAAAGATACCATATCGATCAAAAATACCGAAAAATACCGACAATTGGCAACCAATTAACATTGAAGCAATACAAGGAACATTTACCGAAGAAAGGAAATTACAGATTTTATTTTATTACCACTTGCGATGACCCAGAGAGTCCAATCATTCAGGAGGAAGTGACCGACGATATGGACCTGCTACCATTGCATGATGGCTACGTCAAGTCCATCAATTAATCATAATTAATGTTTCTAAGTTCAGCACATTTAGATAGTTTCAACGGTATCCGTCGTTTTTCATTGCATGATAAAAAAAAACTAATTTATTTGCATTAATAACATGGTAAAACTAAAACAATGTCCAAGCAAACGAACGACTGTTCCCCTTCCCCCCATTTTTTTTTTAAATTAAATCGATTGCACACAATTGGCAATATTCTAAAGTTGTAGCCATGCATCTTTATTTGTTGTCGAATGTTCAGTTGTATCGCGTAGAATAAGAGAGAAAGTATTCTGATATTCATATAGAGAACGAGCCACTATATTCTTTTTTGGCAGTTGAAACAAAAATTATCTACCGTAAAACTCGAGTTGCAAGTAAGAGAAGGAAATGGTGTTGTCGGCCCGATGTGGATGGATTGGCGTGAAAATGCGTGAAAATTCATTCATTCAAAATTCCAACCGATTCAGAAAGAGTAAATTTTTATTATTGCCACGTATTGCCACGACGACTCTGTTTGCGTTGAATCGGCAGGCCGAAAGCAAATGAAAATCAACACACGGATTCATTCAATTCGAATTTTTTAAAATGACACGGACTTGATTATTTCTCACACACCGTCACAAACAAAGGAGATTTTTTATTTCTTCCATACAGAATATTTATCTACCAATTGCATTTGGTTCATTGTTTTTTTCTCTGTATAAATGGCCACATATCTATCTATAAATAAAACTTCCATTTAATCCACATCAATCGCATTTACAGCCTTCACCGACCCCATATTTACAAAACAGAACAAAATATTTTAATTTGCTATACATATGTCACAAATAAGCGGTACACGGTCTTTTTTTTGTAAAATTAAGTCTTAGAAGAAACAATATCGAACAAACGAAAATCAAAATAGTTTTTAGAATGTAATTTAGAGAAAAATGCTTCAAAAATACATTTCGAATCGTTTCGAATATACGTATATACAAATTTTTGATTTTTTTTATTTATTTCACACCGCCAAAAACTGGCTGAATATTTTGGTTTGCAGGAAAACGACTCCAAGAGTCGTAAAAAACCTGATCTTTTTGTGTTTGTACAATATGGTAATTTTATACAATAAATAGTTATAATAGTCCGTAATAGTCCTTCTCGATTGGTATAACAATTTGGTCTAAAAAGCAATTGACACAAGATAACCTAACCAATACATGGAAATGCATAGGTGGCCGAAATGTAAACGGTCCAATATAGCCTAACTTAAACGTGTAAAAAATGAAAGACCAACTGAAGCGTTAACAATCTAGTGACGGCCCTAATGACTGCAAAAGTCATCATTCAATTTATCCAGAGGTGATACATTGAAGAAAAGTTTTACGTCTAATCTAACAAATCCCTGTTGGCAGTTATGAATTTGTGATATAGTAGAGACCAAAGACATAAGAAAAAAAAATTTACAATACTTGCAAATACATTAACATAAACGGTAGATTCCATTATAAATTATAAACCACTACAGAAGATCACTCTAAGAACTAACTTTTGAGGCTTTTATCTTAGGAATTTCGAGGAATTTGGAAGAATTGGGAAGAATTATAATTTAGGAACTGTCAAGGACTATATATTAAATCTAAAATAACTAAAATTTCATCAGAATTTTTGTTACGGATTGTGTGTAGTATATCAGAAACTTTTATTGCTTTATAATAGAAATTATTTTCTTATTGTCAATGTATTTGCGAAACTCATTGTACATTTCTGTTTTTGACTCGCTTTATAATTCTTTAACTACCAACGTAAAAAACTGAGGACTCACAGGGACTTTTTTTCAACCGTTTACATTTCGGAGAATAGAAGTTACAAGAAGTAAATAACTTCTTCTCCCTTTTTGTAAATTTCAGCTAGTTTTACAAACATCTCTGACACACAATTTTGTTCAGTTTTTGAACAAAATCTAAAAATCGAGAAGCAAGTTCACTTTTTCAAAACAGTTGATATGAAATTCAAACTGCAACTACCATTCGATTCCTCGTCAAAAACTATACAAAATTGAGTGCCAGAGATTTTAGATAAATTCATGTTTGTGAGCCAATTGAAATAAAAATATCTTCAAAATTAATAAGATTACTGAAGAGTTATATCACTATGATTAGTGAAGCTAACCAAAGCATATATCAGACTTGATCAGACTATCGGAATTGGCACTGAAATTTATTGAACCGTTGACATTTGTCTAAATTGATTTGAAAATGCGAACACGCTCTTTCCAACTTCTCAGCATATCTTCAATGTTCTCTGCATTCACCATATGTGCAAAGTATTTTGCATACATATCCATATATAAGTGGATTATAGTATGGAAGATATTTTCAGATTTCAATTCACAAATGAACGATTGAATGTTTGGAAAAATGTTTTCGCGATTTTCAGAAACTTTTTCTAAAACTTGTTGAAAAACAGAATCGTACTTAAAATCTACTGAGTTCAAAGCTTTTACAAAAATTTCGTGTGTGATTTTGCAAGTATTAAAAGTGCCTTGACATGGTGCTTCGTAATGTTTGGTGAAGGATTTCTGTAGAATATTCGCTGACGAGATCCTTTGATCCTGGGGGAAGATGTTCTGGCATGTTGAATCATCCGGACATGCAGAATGATGTTTTTGAATATGTACTTCGATATTTCTTGCATATAATGCTACAGAAACCTCTTCACAGGGATCATTAATCTCGTTGGTATCGTCTTCAGATTCATTGTCGCTGCTTGTGTGATCAATGCAAGGCACCAAATCATCTTCTTCTTCATCATCGTCGTCGTCGCCTCTACACAGATTTGAATCATTGGTATCGAACATATTGCCCTCATCGTTGCTATCACTGTCGTTATTTTCCACATCATCTTCTTCGTTTTCCTCATCAAGCGAATTCGCAGTCATAGCAGTATTATGTGATAAGTGAGGCATTCTTTTCGGCACAGATGATACTTCCAAAATATTCGAAGCATCAATTATGTTGGCGAATCTTGATGATAGATTAATTTCTTTGTTGAAAATTATTTTTCGAAGCGCTCCTTTAAACTGTTGCAGTGTTGGATTTCTGGCATCACCAAGCAAAGATCTTATTCGGCCAAACATTGTTTCTAGAGGGTCCTGTGAGAGGTAAAATGTACCTAATTCTTTGATTTCACCTATAAAACAGAAAAGAGACATTATTTTTCGTCTTTAAGGAATGTTTTACATGTTTTTATGTGCATTTTTGAGGAGAATAGCGGAGAATATATGAACGGGTAAGACGAAAAGTGAGACTTAGATTCACAGCACATATAAAGTGTAACATAAAATTTTTGTATTTGTTGTTACATTTTTGTTCATATCTCTTCCAAAAATACTTGAAACTCATAGTTTTCTTAATTGCATATGATAGAACTCTCCAAGACTGATAATTCAATGACTTAAAGTTATGCCTATCACTAATGATTACGTGTGATTACGGAGTTATAAGTGTCGATAAGTGTTCAAAGTTGTCAGTAACGTCAGGTAATTTTGGAAGTGATTTTCGTAGTTACTGCAAATTCTCGAAAAAAATTAGCGAATCCAGCAATTTATTTTTTACGTACCTTCAATAATTTAAAAATAAAGCATCAAACTAACGATAGCAATGATCAGAAATGATATTTAGACTGAAACAAATAATTTTGGCGAAGGTTCAGACGTTAAAGTAACGTTACGTAAGAAGTCAGTAACGTCACACGTACGAATTTCGTCAAATTTTGTGGCAGGAAAATATTAGATGCGTCGAAAAAATATTATTTCTGTTGGCTGAGATTAAATTTTGAACCTTTTTCTTCAAGATTATGTATGTATATTTACCGATTGGCCATGAAATTCTCAGAATATATTGGGTTTATGTAATGTGTTATAGTTTGGAGAAAAATTTCGTAGCGATCTAATGTCGTTAAGGTTGCCACTTTCAATGTTTTTCTCGTGGTTTCGTTTAAACTTAATATGAATATATTTGAATGATTATTATTTACCTGTAATCACGAATTTCTCACAAATAAAACGAAGACTTTCTATATTGGCGAGATACCCTATGAACCCAGTGCTCCGTTTGTTTCGTCCCGCTTTGATACAATATTTCTTCGTAGACACTCCTCCAATATTTAGTTTAAATTGCAGCGACTTCAAGTAGGGAACGACATTGGTGAAGAAATTGTAAACTTTGCGATAGTTTTGCACTGTAATTGAGCTTTTCAAGCTATTTGCGCACAGCTTCTTCGAATTGAAAACGTCCAACAAAGAATCACAGTATTTTGAGAACATCTGTGTTGGGGTCGAATTTTTAAAGTTGGGGTCACCCTTCTTCTGAAGAAATATCATAGACATAGCGGACGAATTTGAAAGTGTTTCGGCAGCTAATCTGACATTCATCTTGTTGCGTGTGTTCAAATTAAATTCCATGTGTCGCTTTGTCATTTTGTGCGTTAGAAGATCGTTTTGGTATTTGCATTTAACTAAACGTTCAAAGTATGCCCATTTGATGGTGCCTTGGTCTGGGTGGTATAGGACCTTGAATTTCTCCAATGCATTTCGAATGAGCTTCGTCATGTGACATGAATCCAGCAGAATGCATATTTGACTTTCGTCGAATGGGTTACGAATGATAGGTTTTATTTCATCCGGATTGAAGCTGGCTCCCATTGACTCGAACATCGGTATATTGGTCGCTTCGCCATCGCAGCAAATGCTTACAACGATAACACCAATTTCGTGCAAAGCTTTCAGGACATTATTTAGCATTTGCCTCTTTTCGCTTTGAGTCAGTGTTGCTACGCCATAGTATGCAAACGGTAGGCAAAGATCATATCCAATTAGTGACACCATGAACACGAGCACTTTTGATGCTAATGGAGGAAATTTTTCGGAAGGAACATCTGAATATGAAATGAAACCTTCGAATGTCTTCAACGAGCTGTTCCAAACAAGAAATTTCTTAATGCACATTTCATCAAAAGAAAGCGCAACATAGATATTTTTGCCTTCTGCTGAAATAAATTCCTTCAAAGCATGTATTGCTTCATTCAATATTCCAGTATCACATCGTAAATTACTCTGTTGAAACCATTTCTGTAGAGTTCGTGGAGATGGCAGTGCATTTTTGAATTTTTGTCGGATGAAC